GGGAGGGATGTGAGGCTGCGTGAGGGTCAAGACATGCTGGGTGTGGGGTTGACGTGAGGGTGCGTGTGGAGTTGACATGAGGCTGTCTGAGGGTGCGTGTGCGGGGGACACGAGGGTGCATGTGTAGGGGACGTGAGTGTGCGTGTGGGGTAACATGAGGCTGCGTGTGTGAGGGACGTGAGTGTGCTTCGTGGGGGGGACATGAGGGTGCGCTTGGGGGAACATGAGGGTGCGTGTGTGAGGGACGTGAGTGTGCTTCGTGGGGGGAACATGAGGGTGCGTGTGGAGGAATGTGAGGGTGCATGTGTGGGTGTGGGGGCGATGTGAGGGTGTGTGTGGGGGGATGTGAGGGTGTGTGTGGGGGGATGTGAGGGTGTGTGTGGGGGGGATGTGAGGGTGTGTGGGAGTGGATGTGAGGGTGTGTGTGGGGGGATGTGAGGGTGTGTGTGGGGGGGATGTGAGGGTGTGTGTGGGGGGAATGTTTGGGGGGAGATGTGAGGGTGTGTGCGGGGGTATGTGAGGGTGTGTGTGGGGGGGATGTGAGGGTGTGTGTGGGGGGATGTGAGGGTGTGTGTGGGGGGGATGTGAGGGTGTGTGTGGGGGGATGTGAGGTTGTGTGTGGGGGGATGTGAGGGTGTGTGTGGGGGGATGTGAGGGTGTTTGTCGGGGGATGTGAGGGCCTGTGTGGGGGGATGTGACGGTGAGTTGGGGGGATGTGAGGGTGTGTGGGAGTGGATGTGAGGGTGTGTGGGGGGGGATGTGAGGGTGTGTGTGGGGGATGTGAGGGTGTGTGTGGGAGTGGATGTGAGGGTGTGTGTGGGGGGATGTGAGGGTGTCTCTGGGGTATGTGAGGGTGTGTGTGGGAGTGATGTGAGGGTGTGTGGGGGGGATGTGAGGGTGTGTGTGGGGGGAATGTGTGGGGGGAGATGTGAGGCTGTGTGGGGGGGATGTGAGGTTGTGTGTGGGGGGATGTGAGGGTGTGTGTGGGGGATGTGAGGTTGTGTGTGGGGGGATGTGAGGGTGTGTGTGGGGATGTGAGGGTGTGTGTGGGGGCATGTGAGGGTGTGTGTGGGAGGAATGTGTGGGGGGAGACGTGAGGGTGTGTGGGAGTGGATGTGAGGGTGTGTGTGGGGGATGTGAGGGTGTGTGTGGGGGGATGTGAGGGTGTGTGTGGGAGGATGTGAGGGTGTTTGTGGGGGGATGTGAGGGTGTTTGTTGGGGGGTAGATGTGATTTTGTGTGTTAGGTGGTGGTGTGAGGATGAGTTGGGGGGATGTGAGGGTGTGTGTTGTGGGGCTGAATGTGTGTCTGTGGCCGGGATGTGAGGGTGTGTGTGGAGGGGATGTGAGGGGGTGTGTATGGGGGGCACGTGAGCGTGTGTGTGGAGGGGGGGGCATGAGGATTAGTGTCGGGGGGAGCGTGAGGGCGTGTGTAGGCGGGGGAGCGTGAGGGTGTGTGTGCGGTGGACATGAAGGTTCATGTGGAGGAACATGAGGGTGCGTGTGGGGGATGTGAGGGCTCGTGTGGGGGGGACATGAGAGTGTACGTGTGGGGGGGACGTAAGGGTGCGTGTGGGGTGGAGGTAAGTGTGCGTATGGGAGAACGTGAGTGTGCGTGTGGAGGTACATGAGGGTGCATGTGGGGGATGTGAGGGTGCGTGTGGGGGATGTGAGGGTGCATGTGGGGGGGATGTGAGGGCGCGTGTCTTGGGGACATGAGTGTGCGTGTGTGGGGGACGTGAGGGTGCATGTGTGGGGGACGTGAGGGTGCGTGTGTGGGGTACGTGAGTCTGTGTGTGGGGGTGACGTGAGGGTTCTTGTATGGGACGTGAGTGTGTGTGGGGGTGATGGAACAGGTGTGTGTGTAGAGGAACATGAGGGTGTGTGTGGGGGGGATGTGAGGGTTCATGTGGAGCAACATGAGGGTGTGTATGGAGGAACGTGAGGGTGCGTGTGCGGGGGATGTCATGGTTGTGGAGGAATGTGAGTGTGCATTTGTGAGGCTCGTGAGTATGCGTGTGTGAGTGAGGGTGCGTGTGGTTGGGAGGTGAGGGTGCATGTGGGAGGGACATGCGGCTGCTTGTGGGGGGCACGTGAGGTTTGTGTGGGGGAGACGTGAGGCTGCGTGTGGGGGATGTGAGGGTGTGTGGTGGCGTAATGACGGTGCGTGTGGGGGAGACGTGAGGGTGGTCGTGGGGGGGACGTGCAGGTGCGTGTGGGCGGTCGTGAGGTTGTGTGTTGGGGGGAGGTGAGGGTGTGTGTGGCGGCTCATGATGGTGTGTGTGGGGGGTTGTGAGGGTGTTTGTGTGGGGGGCGTGAGGGTGTGTGTGGGCAGTATGTGAGGGTGCGTGTGGGGGGCGTGAGGGTGCGTGTGGGGAGTACGTGTGGGTGCGTGTGGGGTGGGGGGGGACGTGAGGGACAGGGAGCAACTTAGGGAAATTTCCATCAGCAGAGAATTGGTGTCGGGAAACTGTGAGCACTAAACAGTGACGGATCCCCCGGTCCGGATGGTTTGCATCACAGGGTTTGAGAAGAGGAGCGTATGAGATAGTGGAGGCCCTGTGTCTGATCTTCCAAAATTCCTTGGATTCTGGAGCAGTGCCCATGGACTGGAAGATCACAAATGTCACACCACTGTTTAAAAAAGGTGGAAAGGAAAAGATGGGGAACTATAGACCAATTAGTCTCACATCAGTGATGGGAAACATTTTAGAATCGTTGATTAAGGATGTGGTAGTGCGGTATTTAGGGCACAATATAATTAGGCCGAGTCAACACGGCTTTACAAAAGGGAAGTCATGTTTGACAAATCTCAGAGAGTTTTTTGAGGACATTTCCAGTAAAGTGGATATGGGTGAATCAGTGGATGTGGTCTATTTGGACTTCCAGAAGGCATTCGATAAGGTGCCGCATAAAAGGTTAGTCCAAAAGATAAGGGCCCATGGAATTGGGGACCATATTAACGTGGATTGGGGAATGGTTAACGGGTCGGAAACACAGATTAGGGATAAACGGGTCCTTTTCGGATTGGTGGGATGTGACCAGTGGAGTGCCACAAGGATCAGTCCCTGGGCCTCAGCTATTTACCATCTACACCAACGATCTGATGAGGACATCGAAGTTAATATATCTAAATTCACGGATGACACAAAACAAAACGAGGAGGAAGTGTCAACACAGAGGACGACATTAAAAACAATGCAGTGAGACATAGAGAGGTGAGGTGACTGGGCAGGTAGGTGCCGATGAAGTACAATGTAGGGAAGTGCCAAGTCATCCGCCTCGGTAGCAAAAACAGTAGAGTGGGTTATCTTTTAGAAGGGGAGAGATTGGAATGTGTCAGTGTCCGGAGGGACTCGGGTGTCCTTGTACACCAGTCACAGAAAGTTAGTCTGCAGGTGCAGCAGCAATTAGGAAGGGGAACGGTATGTTAGCATTCATTATGAAAGGATTAGAGTATAAGAGTAGGGAAGTGTTGCTGCCACTGTATAGGGCTCTGGTGAGACCACACCTGGAATACTGGGGGCAGTTTTGGTCTTCTCATTTAAGGAAGGATGTACTTGCCTCGGAGGGCTGCAGCGTAGATTTACTGGGTTAGTACCAGGGATGAAGGGGATGAGTTACGAGGATAGGCTGAACAATTTGGGCCTATATTCTCTAGAATATAGAAGAATTAGAGGGGATCTTATAGAAACCTATAAGATCATCAAAGGGCAGATAGAGTAGATAGTGGGAGATTGTGTCCCCGGTTGGAGAAACTAAAACCAGGGTCACAACCTTAAAATCAGAGGCAGCCCTTTCGCACTGAGTTGAGGAAGAACTTCTTCACTCAAAGGGCAGTGAATGTATGGAACTCACTACCCCAAAGGGCTGTTGACGCTCCGTCCTTGAACATATTCAAGACTGAGATGGATAGATTTCTTATTGTCAAAGGTATTAAGGGATATGGGGATAAGGCAGCGTCAGGTTATTAGCTGGAGTTAGATTAGAAGATCAGCCATGATTGAATGGCGGGGCAGGCTCGAAGGGCCGAATGGCCTCCTCCTGCTCCCACATGTTGTGTTATGTTTGGGGGGGATTTGACAGTGTGTGTCGGGTGGATATGAGGGTGTGTGTGGGTGGGATGTGAGGATGTGTGTGGGGGTAATGTGAGGGTACTGTATGTGGGGGGGATGTGAGGGTGAGTGTGTTTGAGGGGATGTGAGGGTGTGTGTGGGTGGATATGAGGGTGTGTGCGTGTCGGGCAGATGTGACAGTGTTTATGTGTGGGGTGGGGGATGACAGGCTGTGTGTGGGGGCGAATTTTAGGGTGTGGTGTGGGGGGAGTGTGAGGGGTGTATGGGTTAATATGAGGTTGGTTGGGGTCAATGTGAGGATGTGTGTGGGGGGTAATTTGAGAAAGTCTATGGGAGGATGTGAGGCTATGTGTTTGAGGGTGTTTGTGGGGGGATGTGAGTGTGTGTATGGAGGGGTGTGAAGGGGGTGTGGGTGGGATGTGAGAGTGTGTGTGTGTGTGGGGGGCTTTTCAGGGTGTGTGTGGGAGGTGGATTGTGAGGGAATGCGCGTGTGATGGATATGAGGTTGTGTGTGGGGGATGTGAGGGTTTGTGTGGGGAACGTGAGAGTGTGGGGATATGAGGTTGTGTGTGGAGGATTTGAGGATGTGTGGGGGTGGGGTGGGGGGCATGTGAGGGGTGTGTGTGGGGGGGATGTGAGGGTGTGTGTGTAATGGAATGCGAGGGTGTGTGGGGGTGAGGTTGTGTTTGGGGGGAGATGAGTGTGTTTGTGTGAGGGAATGTCAGGGTGTGCATGGGGCTGCTGACAAGGTGTGTGTATGAAGGGATGTGAGGGGTGTGTGGGGGGATGCGAGGGGCTGTGTGGGGGGATGTGAGGGTGTGCGTGTGGGGGATGTGTGGGTATGTTTGTTGGGGGATATGTGGTTATGTGTGTGGGGTGTGTGTGTTGGGTGGGGGGGCAGTGGATGTGGGGTGAGGGTATGTATATGTGTGGGATGGTTTCTTGGTCACTCAGAATCTTACCTGCATATGTGTTCTTCCTTTTCAACCCTGGAATCAAGAAGAAAGAAGTGATCAGACCTTCGTCAGCTCCTAACTCAGTCACACTCCCTCCCTCCTTCTCTCACTCCCTCACTCTCCTCCTCACTCCCTCCCTCCCGCCCTCATTGACTCACTCCCTGTGTTATAGAGACACTCACTCATTCTCTCTCTCCCTCAATGTGTGTGTGTTCATAAGCCAATGTTGTCTGAGGAAGGAAAAGGGAAAGTTGAAGCTGTGAAACAGACCAATGTTTGGAGTTAAACACTCTGTAATAATTCATGGAATAGAATCATTGAAATTTACAGCCCAGAAGGAGGCCATTCACCATCGAGTCTATATGGGCTCTCAGAGCAAAGTGTTAACAACAGCTGCCCCGCCCTATCATTAACCCCTTCAAGTCTCTATCCCTCATACACCTGTCTACTTCCCTGTCTACTGCCCTCCGCTCCACCATTGGAAATCGTGTATTCAGTCACTACGCCCCGAAACTCTGGAACACTCTCCCTCAAACCCTCTGCCTTGCCCCCTCTCTCCTCTTTATCAAATCCCACCTGAAAACCTTCCTTTTCGACTGTGCTTATAGTCGGCTCCCCCATCCCCCCCCCCCCCCCCCCCCACCCTCGGCCCGGCTCAGAATCAGGCTCTGTCTCTGTTCAGTGATCTGAGACGCTATCCTGCGTGGAGGGCACTATATAAGTGCAAGTTGTTGTTATTCTATAATAATAATCCTTGAAATAGATTTGGCTCCTCATAAGCATTTTGCACGATTTACTGGAGAGTGTAGTGACTGTGTATTTTGTTGGCAAACTATAACATAAATGATCTGGACTTGGGTATAACAAGCACCATTTCCAAGTTTGCGACGACACAAAGTTAGATAGGGTGGTACACAGTGAGAAGGATAGAGCCAACTGCGGAATGAGGGAACCCTTGATTATGAGGAAAGGCTGGAGAGGCCGGGATTAATCTCATTGGATCTGGAAGGCATCGCCTGAGAGGGCGGTCGAGGCTGATTTGATAACAACTTTTAAAAACGCAGTGGATGGTATTTGAGGAGGACGGGTTTGCGGGTTATGGGGAAAGGGCTGGGGAGTGGGACTGACATTACATTGCTCTTTTCAAAGAGCCGACACAGACTCTATGGGCCGAATGGCCTCCTTTTGTGCTGTTCAATTCTATGATTCTATGAACTATGTCTGCTTTGTGTGAAGCTTGTGAATGAGGTTAATCACAACGTGAAATTGTTATTTTATTTTGATGACTTACCCACTCTCTTCTCAAGATCTGGAGGATACAAAACAAAACTGTTAGAAACCGCTCCTGAATCCAGTATTGTTTAATGCTCAGTCTATATGTTTACAACATTAACAGTTAGAAACTACACAAAGTGCAGCTCAACACAATTACAGGAGGTTTGAATTACAATAACATTTACATTTACACAGCACCTTCCACAGCTGACTGGGCTCTGAGCTGGGATCTGAGCTGGGATATCCCAAAGCCCTCACAATGCTGACTGGGGTCTGAGCTGGGGTCTGAGCTGGGGTCTGAGCTGGGGGCTGACCTGGGGTCTGAGCTGGGGTCTGAGCTGGGGTTGGGGTGGGGGGGAGAGGGTAAAATTAAATAAAAATGCAGAATGAGGAAGGTCATGGGACAGGCCTTGAAAGAGGTGATGGAGAGGGAGGGGGTGAAGTCGGAAGGATTCTTGGCTTGAGTTGCAGAGAGTGGGGGCAGAGAGGCTGAAAGCCTGAGCTGCTGATGGTGGGGAGGGAGGATCAGGCGGTGACATGAAACAGGCCGCGGGGGTCACTGAGTGAAGGGAGGGACCAATTGTTTTATAGAACTTGCACATTCTTACACAAACAGTGTTGTGATGGGAGATGTTACTGATGGGAACGTACCTTTGATCTCTCGGCGCTGTTTTACACTGAAGCCGACAAGAACACTCAGCACCAATATGGCAAGTCCTAAGAGCAGTGCGGAAACCACCAAACCCACTGGCACTTTGGGAAAGAACTCGTCTGTCAAGAAATGTAAATAGACATTTAAACATCTATTCTGATGTCAAACACAAATACCTTTATTTGTCCCCATGTGACTGTGTTACACACAGTAGCTCAGTAGCTGTCACAGGCTTCACTCCAAGTGAAGTCCTGGTAGTGTAGTGCGAGAAGATTCGGGTTAGATTCCGGGGCAGAACGAAACATTAGACAAGTTTAATGTTTAAACTCCACATGCCTCTGCTTACCCAGCAGTAAGTAGGAACCCGCTTGTTCATTGATTGGTAGATCGCTTTCCAGAGCTAATAATCCCATCAAATAATACAATAGAATAATAATAATTTGATCACTCAATCCGTGACTGTTTGTGGGACACTGCTGTCTGCAATTGGCTGCCGCGTCTCACCCACAAAATATACATTCATTTCACTTTACAGTATATTCTGTGAAGGGCTTTGAGACATCTCAAATACATGATAACATACAGTATCAAATACAAGGATTATTATTTTCATATACTTTTCCCAGGAGATAAATGGAGTCTTGGAGCTGAAGTGGCACCAAAGTGATGTGGTTGGTAAGGGAATGTCAGAATAAAATCCATTCTTTGTGGCTGTCTCGTTAGTCCGGTCCCTGAGAGCCAGACTCCAAGGGTGAATGTGTGGATAAGGAAAAGGAGAGGAACACCATCTGTGAATACACTGGGCAGGAGGAGAAGCCATTGAATAAGATAACATGGAGATGCTGGGACAGACAGGAGTGAAACCAATAATGTGCAGAATCTGTGAGGTGATTCACGGAGGAGAAGTGGTCAACAGTGTGAAAGGTGAGCGAGAGATAGAGAAGGACAAGTAGACACAGGGTCTCCTGGTCAAAGACAGAGAGAACATCACCTGTGCCTTTGGCCAGGGCTGTAATGATGCTGTGAGCAGCAGGAAGCAGTTTGGAAAGACTTATACAGGGAATAGTGGGAAAGGAAGGAATTGAACTTCAAGGCGACAACTCATTCCAGCACCTTGGAGAGGAAGGGCAGGTTGGAAATGGGGCAGCAGCCCTGTTTGTAAAGAGTTTAGTGAAAGTTTATTGAGAAGAAGTAACGGCAGCATTTTTGAATGAGAATTACCATGCCAGAGGAAAGGAAATCATTCCTAATATCTATCTATTTCAGTTTACAAATGTGATTTCTGGATGAATCTCAAACCTTTATTGTCAAGTAAAACAAATTACATTTGTGCTATACAAATGTAATCTTGTTGTTGTAATGAATAGGTTCATTGCCTTCAAAGCCCTCCATGGCCCGGCTTCTCCCTATCTCTGTGGCCTACTAACTCCATACTTCTGCCCCAATTCTGTGAAACTCCATCCACATGTTGACCCCAATCCCCAGGTGGGTCCAAATCCCTGATTGTCCACCACCTTTGCATAGTGCCTCTCACACTGGATGTCCTCCTGACATGAAAGGCACTTCACAAATGTCATTTGTTGCTGTTGTTGAAGATGGTGAGTTTGGTATTTTGAAAGGATGAAATCAGGTGGACCGTATCATCCAGACTGATCGTTTTCACTTCATGTGCTGTACAAATCTGCATCATATCTATCAGTCTATTGTTAATATTTCAGTGTACTTACTGACCTGAGATTTGGAGTTTGCCTTCTTGTTCATTTTCTGAATTGTGAATCAGACACCTGATCTTATTGGTTGAATGGATGATTTCTATTTGGCCTTTAACACTGAAGAGACCTTTAGAATCCTCTCTGACCGTCCAGTTACTGAGTGTTGTTAAGTTGTTTCCCTGATCATCAAACCACAGAACCTCTGGTGCTGGGAACCATCCACTGGATTCACACCGCAGCCTCACACCATCACTGTGCTGCCCATCAACGTGAATCCAAGGCTGACTGCCAAGAACTGGAAGACAGGAGACGTGAATCAGACAATATTAATACCCGGGACATTACAGAGCAGTAACTTTACTGAAGGCCACAACATTCTGAATACATTTACACCAATGATAACTTGTTCTTGTTTTTATAAAGTATTGCATTTTGAAGATAACATTAACAAATAATGAATGTTTGTACACACAGATTACATGAAATAAAATGAATTATAAACATTACTGACCTATAACTTTCAACTCTATCACTGCCTCTTCATACCATCCGGCATAGTCAACAAAACACGTGTACGCTCCATTATCTGACACCCGCACATCTCCCAGTCTGAGAGACACATCGCCGTTGATAAATTCCTCTACAAACAGTTGTGTTCTGTGTCTGTAGGCTTCATCCTGTGTTTCCAGTTGCTGTCGCCCCTCCTTGTATAAGTGCACAGGGGAGTCGTATCTTGTCCTGAACCATCTCACCTCCACACCCTCTCGTGGCAGGTCTATGGAACACTTACAGTCCAGGACAACATCTGAACCAGCAATGGCTGGGACAGGGAGGGCCGGGCCAGTGACTGTGAATTTCTCTGCTTAATAATAAACAATGGATACAGATAGGATTTTCAGTCACTGCCTCAGACAAACTCTGTCAATAGACTGTTGCTGAGATAACAATAATAATCCTTACATTTGATATAGCACCTTATAAATAATTATTTGTGAAGGACAGGTTTGCGCGGCTATGAGGAAAGAGCAAGGGATTGGGATTGATTTGGATGGCACTTTTAAAAGAGTTGGCCTACTGGGCTGAATGGCCTCCTTTTGTGCTGTATAATTCTATGATTTTCTGATTATTCTATGATTATCACGTCGCCGAGAAGTCTCAAAATCTTCATAGGATAGACTGTGAAGTGCTGCGACTGTGTATTTTGTGGAGGGAAGGCGGCAACCAGTCTGTGCACATCATTTACCTTTATCTTCAGCAATTTACACCAACAGAAATCAAACAGATTCAATGTGTTTCCTTACCAGTCAGTGAGAGGGGAAGCACAAGCCACAGGACCTGAATACAGTGTTTGCAGCTCATCTTCGAGGACCTTCACAATGAGATCAGAACTGGTTACAACACAGCAAATCAGATCATTACACACAGAGATTTGTGATCAAATATAATCAATAAAATATAAAACATAATTACAACATGTTCTTTGCATTTACACCCACAGCAGAACAAATTGTCTTCTCTGTTGGAATAGTGATGTGGGATCTTTAACTGTGACAGTGAGGCCCCCCCTGGCCCCACACTGGGGGTCTACATGAGATGGTTTCGGGAAGAAACATGTTATGTGTAACTGCTGTAATGTGCCCCTCCCCTCCCCCTCCTCACAGCCGCTCCTTATTCACCCCAACATGGTGCAAGTCAGAGAGGAGCTCCCATTCCCTTCCCCCTCACTTGCCTCCAATTCTCAGCGTTTAAACCACAAACTGGGAATAAACTGACTGCAGAGCTCTCGCTTTACTATTGACACAAACCTGACAATAGAGCACATTTATTTCACACTATCTGTACCCGTTGTTGCTTGACTTGCAACCAAAGGATCCAATATGGAATGTAAATTTTAGTGATACACTGACAGACCATTTAATATGCCATAAGCACCTTAAGCAAAGCTGCCATACATGTGTGGTGAGTTTGTTTAGGTCATAGCTCATCAATGATAGGAGTTCGCCCCCCAAAAAAATATGCCCATGACACTTCTCCTTGCAAGACCTTTCCATTCATGTATAGATCGAACCTTTATGGCAATGCATTATTTGCAGACAGACCCACATTTTGTCTTTTTTAATGTAGATAGATGCATTTCTCTTGAAGGGTGTGTGATTTCCTTTGTCACTGCTTTGTTGCAGAATACCATGCATACTTCATATTTTGGGGCTTAATGAACGCATTTTTTAATATAGCTCATCAATAGAAGATCCTCCCAAAATATGCCCATGACACTCCCCTTTGCAAGACCTTTCTGATGAGTTATAAATCATGTCTCTATTTCAATTGGTTATTGCGTTCTTGGTGAATACACAGACAGACTGACAGACATTTTGTCTTTATTAGTACAGATTTAAGCTCCACATCACCGCACTTAAAAGTGAAACCAGTGAACTGTATAACTAGAATAACAGTAAAGTTAAGGCATTATTTTAATGGTAAATAATATATCATTGCAGGAAACAATTTTTGACACTTACCTGATTAGGTTTGGCATTGAAAGACAAGAATCTTCACTCTTAAAAGTAAGTGTGTCTGGGATGGCGATATCCAGAGGCTAATCTGCTTTCGGTTTCTGTGGGAATCACACTATAGCCACACAAACAGGGAAAGGGCAGTTCAAATATTCCCTACAATATCGAGTGGGGAAAAGTCCTGTGATTTTCACTGTTAATGTTGACTGTTGCTCATCACTTGCTGTCAGTAACTAACATTCCTGCTCTGAGACCCTGGTTACACCCTCACGTTTCTCTGGAATAATCTTCAATCCACAGAAAACGTCCCACGTGATTGATTTCCAGGTTAATGTGTAACAGATCTGTATGGTTGGAGGTGTTTGCTGAGGTTGGGAGGGCAACACCGAGGAGAGCTTTCAAGGTGAAACAAGGATCTGGAACTCAATCAGCTGGAGATGGGGATGGGGATCTGATCTGAGAAAGAGAGATAGATTGGCGGAGCCTGGAGTGGGGGAGGACACAGGTGCAGGTATTAGCAACACCGTGACCATCTCTATATGATCAAGGTTGAATCGAAAACCTAGATCTGTTAAAACAGCATTTGATGTGTCGCAGAAACAGATTTTTAAAAACAGAATATAATTTATTGTGAACGCAACATAACAAGTTCACAATTCCTGTTTCAACGCCCTTTATTTACAGGCACAGTTACACGGTCCCCCGGCTCTGCCAGCCTGTATCTACAGGATGATGAGCTGACACTTATATTGGGGTGTGAGCCTCTGCTGTTCCCCCAGATTCCACACATCTACAAACATATATACACAACAACTTGACATTGCGACCTTCATGCGGTGTAGCAACCCAGAGCGCTGCACAGTGGTGGAGTGTGGCAATAAGCCACGGGGAGAGGGAGAGGGGAGGTGACCATCAGCACGATCAAAAAGAAAGCTCTTCAGGCGGGATTTCAAGGTGGGAAGGGAGGGGGCAGGGGGAGGGATTGAGGGAGAGCTCCAGAGTCTCAAGGCATAGTGGCTAAAGGCATGTCCACAAATGGTGGAATGGAGGGAAAGACGGGCTGGAGACATTCGAGCAGAGGCAGTGGGTGGTAGAATGGGGGGTAAGCAGGTCAGATAGGTAGGGAGGTGCGAGGGAATGAAGTGATTTGAAAACAAATGAGAGGTTCTTGAAATCAATCCATTCGGTGACTGGGAGCCAGCGTAGCCTGGCAAGGACTGGTGTGATGGGGGCACGGAGTTTCGTGTGAGTGACTATCTGGGCATCAGAGTTTTGAATCAGTTGTATTTGTGTATGGGGGAGCTGGGGAGACCAGCGAGGAGGGCAGTGGAATAGTCCAGCCGGGAATTGCTGAAGGTGTGGACAAGGGTTTCAGCTGCATCGGTTGTGAGGTACAGACAGAGGTGGGCAATATAGCAAAGGTAGAAAAAAGTGATCCTGATCAGGGAATGGATGTGTGGTAGAAAGGAAATTCAGACACGATGCCGGCTGGGGTCAGACACCACCTCACCTTTGTACTGGGTGCGGGTGGTAATATAATAATAACCTTTGTATTTCATAAAGCAAAGAGCAACGGGAAAGCTTGGCAAGGATTGTCTGGTTTAAGCTGATTCAATAGCAACGTTTAAGAGAAAAATAGATAATTATTTGGGGAGAACAAGTTTGCAGAGCTATGGGGAGAGAGTGGGGGAGTGGGATTGATTTGGATAGCACTTTTCAAAGAGCCCACACAGACATGATGGGCCAAATGGCCTCCTTCTGTGCTGTATAATGTGATTATATGCTTCTATACGCTATACGGTTTTAGCTGGATAGACTCCATCAGTTACAATCTGGGGACCCCAAGCCTTGTTTATTGCCAACCTGTGCCTAATACTTTCCAGAATTAGGTAAACAGGATGTGTCCCTCCAGGGAGAGAGTTCACACTCCATTCCAACAGTGTATCTCTGGGATTTCCATGTGTATGTGGGATGCAATGAAATCTCAGCTTTGGTTTGGATACTCTTAAGCCCCTCAGACAGATATGATGTCCCAGGATCACTGCTCCTGATAAACTCCAGTGCCCAAAGCTGGAAAGTGCGTGTGTGGATGTTGTGCTGTTGGTCACAGCCTCTTCTCTGCCCAGTTTCCCGCCTTCAGCTGCTCCCAACAGTGTGTGAAGTGTGTGGTGTTGGTGTGCAGTCACTGTGTGTGTGTTTGCCTTCGCCGAAGAGCAGAAAAGCGCTCAAGTGAGGGGTACAGTAACACCTACACCTCTAACTGGTAAGAGAAGCTACACTAAGGACGAAATGTCTGTGTGTGTGTCTGTCTGTCAGTGTATCCGACAAACACACAATAACCGAGTGATGTAGAGACATGATTTATACCTCATCAGAAAGGTCTTGCATCCGGCAGTGTCATGGGCATTTTTGGGGGGGAATTGCCCATCGTTGATGAGCTACAATAAAAAATGCATTAATTAAGCCCAAAATATGAATTATACAGCGCATTCTGCAACTACGTCGCGACAGACGAAAGCACAAACCGTTCAGAGAGATACATCTATATTCTGCAACAAATGAATGGCTTTTTTCTCGTTGTCGTGGGAGCCGTGTCCTCCCATGTGGGACAGATGGCGAGAGAGTCTAAGGGAGAGAGACCGAGATAAGGAGAGAGGCTCAGACAGACAGTGAAATAGACAGAGAGAGAGAAAATGAAATAGTGAGAGAGAGAGACAGATAGACTGAGAGAAACACAGTGAGAGAAACTGAGAGAAAGACACTGAGAGAGACTGAGATACTTGGAGAGACTGAGATAGTGAAAGAGACTGAGAGATGGAGAGAGACTTGGATTGAGAGAAGAGAGGCTGGGAATGAGGTTGGGGGTGGGGGACTGGGAGGGAGACTGAGAGGGAGAGAGAGACTGTGAGAGAAAATTTATTAAGGAGACCTCCCAATGAGTCGTCTCAAGAGGATTCCTCCCACAGGAGTCCTCCCAGATGAGCATAGATAAAGATGCAATGTCTGTCTGAGTGTCTCTGTGTGACAATCTACATTCCATATTGGATCATTTGCCTGGAAAATAAGCATCTAAATGGGGTAGAGGAGCAAAGGGATCTATGGATACAGTTACACAAATCGCTAAACATAGCGACACAGGTTAATAAGGTCATAAACAAACAAATCAAACATTGGGGTTCATTTCTAGAGGTATAAAAATGAAAAGTAGGGAAGTTATGCTAAACTAATATCGAACCTTGTTTAGACAACACTTGGAATACTGTTTACAGTTCTGATCCCCATATTATTCAAGACTGAGATCGATAGATTTTTAAAAACTCAAGGCATTAAGGTATATGGGGAGAGGGCGGGTAAATGGAATTAGGTTAGTAGATCAGCCATGATCTTATTCAATGGCGGGGCAGGCTCGGGGGGGAGACCTCACTTGTGGTTGAGACCGATATCAGCGGCCATCGAAATAACATAATCACCAATAAATCAAACAGGGAAGTCAGAAGAAACTTCTTTACCCACAGAGCTGTGGGCATGTGGTACTTGCTGCAACAAGGAGAAGTTAAGGCAAATAGCATAGACTTGTTTAAGGGGAAGCTAAATAAATACATGAGGGAGAAAGCAGCAGAAGGTTATGTTGATTGGCTCAGTTGAGAAAGGGCAGAAGGACAGTCATGTGGAGCATAAACACCGGCATAGACCAGATGGGAGGAATAGACTGTTTCTGTGCTGTATGTTCTCTGTAATTCTATGTAATTATCTGTAACAATAAGTAGGTTTATATCAAAGTTGTTTTCTACACTACACCTGTACATCACATACATGCAGACATTAACCTCAGAGGTTTAGGTATGTGTGAAGGCCTAAAGACTTTTATTTTTGATTGTGCCTTTGGTCAACTCTCACCTCCCTCTTCCCCCTGGCTCGGAGTCAGACTCCAGCACTGTCAAATGCTCCGGGAAACTACAACAACAACAACAACAACAAGAAGATTCCATTTATAGAGCGTTTTTCACGTCGGGAGGACGTCCCAAGGCGCTCTACAGTTGGGTCAGGACCTGAGCAGGGGGGAAATGGTCAGGGGGAGGGAAGGGAGGGAGCGAGTGGGGGGTAGAGAGTCGAGAGGGGAGCTGAAGGCACGGTCAAAGAGAAAGGTCTTGAGACCGGCCTTGAAGGAGGAAAGGGAGGAGGCGGCGAAGGTACTGGGGGATAGAGTTCCAGAGCCTGGGGCTGAGAGGCTGAAGGCTCGGCCACCGATGGTAGGGTGGTTGGGGCGGGGGATGTGGAGCAGAGCGGAGCCAGAGGAACGGAGGGTACGGGCAGGTAGGTAGGGGGATAGTAGGTCAGAGAGGTAGGAGGGAGCAAGGCCGTGAATGGCCTTGTAGGTGAGGGTGAGGATCTTGAAATCAATCCTCTGGGGGATGGGGAGCCAGTGGAGGCGAGCGAGGGTGGGAGTGATGTGGTCCCGAAGCCTGGTGCCGGACAGTACACGAGCTGCAGAGTTCTGAACGACCTGCAGCTTGTGGAGGGAGGGCCGGGAAGGCCGGCGAGGAGAGAGTTCCTGTAGTCCAGCCTTGAGTTGATAAAGGCGTGGGCCAGAGTTTCAGCAGCGTGAGGGGTGAGGTAGTGCCGTAGTCTGGTGACATTCCGGAGGTGATGGAAGGCGGTGCCAGTTGTGGTGCGGATATGAGGGAGAAAGGACAGCTCAGGGTCGAACAGAACCCCGAGGTTCCTGACCGGCTTTGAGAGGTGGAGAGTGCGGCCTTGGATGCTGATGCTGTCAGCTCCTGAGTCGAGAGGGAAGCTGAAGGCACACTCCTGAAAACTAAACTATGACGGGAACGGTTCCCCCACTCCGCCCCCACACCTTCCTGGCTGCACTCCCTGCCACCGCAACCTGGGTAGGTAGGCCCAGGCTCCTCCCCGCGCTGTCCTGCCGCCGCTCGCCATGTCGAACAGTGACCCACAAACACTCTTGGATTGAGTGACCAAATTATTTCTTTTTTAATTCAGTTGGGAAGGATGTGGATGAGGGAAGTGAGAGAAGGGGGTAGGGGTTACCTTTTGGAGGCAGGGAAGGCAGGCCTTGGGGTGCGCTGATGATGGGGCAGTCGGGGTGGCTGCTCTGGGACAACCATTGACAAGTGTTGCGGTGCTCCGGGTGGAGGAGGCCCAGGGCTGGAGCAGAGGGAAGTCTGTGGAAGGGCCCCGGATAGAGAGCAGGTGAGGAGGGTGACAGGAGACAAGAACTGAATGTAATTATAATTCTTGCATTTGATATAGCACTTTATCACATCTTTCAGACGTCCCAAAGGGCTTCACACA